GAACTGTGTCAAACGCCTTCTTGCAGTCCAAGAATATGCAATCCACCCACCCCTCTCTCTCTTGTCTTACTGCTGTCACCATGTCATAGAACTCCAGTAGGTTTGTGACACAGGATTTCCCGTCCCTGAAACCATGTTGGCTGCTGTTGATGGGATCATTCCTTTCTAGGTGTTCCACCACTCTTCTCCTGATAATCTTCTCCATGATTTTGCATACTATACATGTCAGTGACACTGGTCTGTAGTTTAGTGCTTCATGTCTATCTCCTTTTTTAAAGATTGGGACTACATTTGCTGTCTTCCATGCCTCAGGCAATCTCCCTGTTTCGATAGATGTATTGAATATTATTGTTAGGGGTACACATAGTGCCTCTGCTCCCTCTCTCAATACCCATGGGAGATGTTATCTGGCCCCATTGCCTTTGAGGTATCTAGCTCACTCAGAAGCCTCTTCACTTCTTCCTTGGTTGTGTGCACTGTGTCCAGCATATGGTGGTGTGCCCCACCTCTCCATCTTTCTGGAGCCCCTTCTGTCTCCTCTGTGAACACTTTTGAATCTCTTGTTGAGTTCCTCACATACTTCACGGTCATTTCTTGTTGTCTCTCCTCCTTCCTTCCTTAGCCTGATTACCTGGTCCTTGACTGTTGTTTTCCTCCTGATGTGGCTGTATAACAGTTTCGGGTCAGATTTGGCTTTTGCTGCTATGTCATTTTCATATTGTCTTTGGGCCTCCCTGTCTTATCTGTGCATATTCGTTTCTGGCTTTACGACTGCTCTCCTTATTCTCCTGGGTCCTTTGCCTTCTATATTTCTTCCATTCCCTAGCACACTTGGTTTTTGCCTCCCTGCACGTTTGGGTGAACCATGGGCTCATCCTGGCTTTTTCATTATTCCTGTTACCTTGGGTACAAACCTCTCCTAAGCCTCCTTGCATTTTGTTGTACATATTCCATCATCTCATTAACTGGCTTCCCTGCCAGTTCTCTGTCCCACTGAACCCCGTTCAGGAAGTCCTCATTCCTGTGTAGTCCCCTTTCTTGTAGTTTTGGCTTCATTCGTCCTGGCCTTCCTGCTTCTCCCTCCACTTGTAGCTCTACTGTGTATTCGAAAGCTTAAAAACCACATGATCGCTGGCCCCAAGGGGTCTTTCATATGTGATGTCCTCGATATCTGCACTACTCAAGGTGAATACTAGTCCAGCCTTGCTGGTTCATCCTCTCCTCTCTCTCTTGTAGTGTCCCTTACGTGTTGGTACATGAAGTTTTCCAGTACCACCTCCATCATCTTAGCCCTCCATGTATCTTGGCCCCCATGCGGGTCCAAGTTCTTCCAATCGATCTCCTTGTGGTTAAAGTCACCCATGATCAGGAGCTTTGCCCTGCATGCATGAGCTCTTCTGGCCACTGCAGCCAGTGTGTCAACCATCGCTCTATTGCTCTCGTCGTACTCTTGCCTTGGCCTCCTGCTGTTCTGTGGTGGGTTATACATCACTGCTATTACCACCTTGGGACCTCCAGAGTGGAGCGTTCCCGCTATGTAATCACTTTCTTCTCCGCTGTCTCCTCTCTCCAGCTCATCAAAATTCCAGCGATTTTTGATTAGCAATGCCGCTCCTCCGCCCCCCCCCCTGTTCCCTCTGTCTTTCCTCAGGATTTGGTATCCCGTTGGAAAGATGGCATCTGTTATCATACCTGTAAGCTTGGTTTCTGTGAGAGCTATGATGTCCGGTGATGCCTCTTTGACTCTTTCGTGCCACTCCTCCCACTTATTTGTTATTCCATCAGCATTTGTGTACCATACCTTCAGTTTCCTTTCCAACACTGTGGTTTTGGGGCCTGTGAGGGTGGGAGACCTGGTAGCATACTGTGGGATTCTATAGCTCGGTGTTGGGTGGAGGCTGTGAGTATGGATTGTAGTGCGTGTTGGGATGGTGTGATAGGTTGTGGGGTTCTGAGAATAGTTGTGTGTGTGCTTGCCCTTGCTGTTCTGTTCTGCTCTGACTGACCTCTGCTGGTTCCATCCTTGTCTCCTTTCCTAGCTCCTTTCGCTTTTTTGTCCTCTCCCTCAGCTGCTGTCGTTTTGCTTGTGTTCTGTCTCTGTCTAGGAACACCCTCTTGTACTCTTCCGAGTATTTCAACCGTGGTTTCTCTTGGAGGATCCTGTTCCGCACTGTTTCCGTCCTGAGAATCAGCTTGATCGGTCGGTTTCTTCCCTTTGAGTACCCCCCTATTCTCTGAAAATTTACAATCTCGTCCATCTCTTCACCTATTTCCGTGATGATTTTCTCAATCTCCTTTCTTCCTGCTGCCTTTCAGTGTGTGTGTGTGTGTGTGTGTGTGTGTGTGTGTGTGTGTGTGTGTTGTGTGTGTGTGTGTGGTGTGTGTGTGTGTGTGTGTGTGTGTGTGTGTTGTGTGTGTGTTGTTGTTGTATATTTATATATATATATATATATATATATATTTTATATATATTATATATATTTATATATTATAATATATATTATATTATATATATGTATGTTTTATACAGTGGCCCCCCGCTTAACGATCACCCCCCAATGCGACCAATTATGTAAGTGTATTTATGTAAGTGCGTTTGTACGTGTATGTTTGGGGGTCTGAAATGGACTAATCTATTCAAAATATTCCTTATGGGAACAAATTCGGTCAGTACTGGCACCTAAAACATACTTCTGGAATGAAAAAATATCGTTAACCGGGGGTCCACTGTGTATATATATATATATATATATATATATATATTTATGATGGGGTTGTAAGAGAAGTAAATGTGAGGGTCTTGGCAAGAGGCGTGGAGTTAAAAAGATAAAGAATCACACACAAAGTGGGAGTTGTCACAGCTGCTCTTTGCTGATGACACTGTGCTCTTGGGAGATTCTGAAGAGAAGTTGCAGAGATTGGTGGATGAATTTGGAAGGGTGTGCAAAAGAAGAAAATTAAAGGTGAATACAGGAAAGAGTAAGGTTATGAGGATAACAAAAGATTAGGTGATGAAAGATTGAATATCAGGTTGGAGGGAGAGAGTATGGAGGAGGTGAATGTATTCAGATATTTGGGAGTGGACGTGTCAGCGGATGGGTCTATGAAAGATGAGGTGAATCATAGAATTGATGAGGGGGAAAAAGAGTGAGTGGTTGCACTTAGGAGTCTGTGGAGACAAAGAACTTTGTCTTGGAGGCAAAGAGGGGAATGTATGAGAGTATAGTTTTATCAACGCTCTTATATGGGTTGTGAAGCATGGGTGATGAATGCTGCAGCGAGGAGAAGGCTGGAGGCAGTGGAGGTGTCATGTCTGAGGGCAATGTGTGGTGTGAATATAATGCAGAGAATTTGTAGTTTGGAAGTTAGGAGGAGGTGCGGGATTACCAAAACTGTTGTCCAGAGGGCTGAGGAAGGGTTGTTGAGGTGGTTCGGACATGTAGAGAGAATGGAGCGAAACAGAATGACTTCAAGAGTGTATTCAGTCTGTAGTGGAAGGAAGGCGGGGTAGGGGTCGGCCTAGGAAAGGTTGGAGAGAGGGGGTAAAGGAGGTTTTGTGTGCGAGGGGCTTGGACTTCCAGCAGGCATGCGTGAGCGTGTTTGATAGGAGTGAATAGAGACAAATGGTTTTTAATACTTGACGTGCTGTTGGAGTGTGAGCAAAGTAACATTTATGAAGGGGTTCAGGGAAACCGGCAGGCCGGACTTGAGTCCTGGAGATGGGAAGTACAGTGCCTGCACTCTGAAGGAGGGGTGTTAATGTTGCAGTTTAAAAACTGTAGTGTAAAGCACCCTTCTGGCAAGACAGTGATGGAGTGAATGATGGTGAAAGTTTTTCTTTTTCGGGCCACCCTGCCTTGGTGGGAATCGGCCAGTGTGATAATAATAAAAAAATAAGAATTTCATGTACAAGTTGCTGAGTAATTTATTAAGCGGATTTCCCATGGTCATGCCTTGTTTTTGAGCACAGTATTTACCTTCAAATATACAGGGTGTTTCAAAAAGATGGACCCAACCAGTATGGCCTCATGGTTAAACGTTGCCTTAACACACGCCAGACAGTCCACTTCCATGGGAAAGCAGAACAGACTTCTTCTTCCATAAGCCAGGCGTGTCATAAAAGGCAACTAAAATGCTGGGAGCAAGGGGCTAATAACCCCTTCTGTATATATTACTAAATTTAAAAAGGGAAACTTTTGTTTTTCTTTTTGGGCCATCCTGCCTCAGTGGGATACAGCCCGTTTATTGAAAAAAGATACATATGTATATATATTGCAACGAATCAACCGTATTCTACTGAGGCAGGGTGACCCAAAAAGAAAGAAAATCCACAAAAAGAAAATACTTTCATTGTCATTCAGCACTTTCACCTCACTCACACATAACCACTATTTTTGCAGAGGTGCTCAGAATACGACAGTCTAGAAGCAAATACGTATAAAGATACACAACATATCCCTCCAAACTGCCAATATCCCAAACCCCTCCTTTAAAGTGCAGGCATTGTACTTCCCTTTCCAGGACTCAAGTCCGGCTATATTTTATTCACATATACATACATACTGTAAGTGTGATCATAGCTGCTATGAACTATTAATTATGATATTGTATTATATTTTTTTAATAGCTTGTAAGAACTATTGACATTATAAAAACAGTACATATTGACATGGATATATTGACATGGATATATTTACATGGATATATTTCTACAGTGCATCCAGTATTGCTATGATTATCTTCTTGTAGCTACAGGAGCAGTGCTAAGCTTGTGGTGTCCTATGTTCAGTCTTTCATTTACTGATAAGTTTTAAAGTTTTCTGTGTGTAGTTGCAGAGCACTTGCTATTAACTCTTGTAAACCATTCCAATAATCTGCTACCCTGCAAAGAAATTTTTTAGTGGATGCCAACATTAGCCCCCACTAGTATTTAAGTGTACTGTATCTTATTGAGTAGCTATATCTCTGCATGTCTGATGGCAATATCTATTCATGTCTAGGATGCCTTCACTCGAGAAAGTTCTACGCGTCGCCTCAAAAAGGAACTGTGGAGGCGGAGATCAGATTTTTTGGGCACCTCTTCACAATACATCGAAGAAGGTCAGTACTGTTCTGTATATGAATGGTAAAATTTAAAATGCAGTGGGTGGAGGCACGTGGTTTTTATGATTTGATATGATGTTGGAGTGTAAGCAAACATTTATGAATGAATTCAAGGGAACCTGTTTGCCAATTTTGAGTCCTGCCTGCCCTCTGAAGGAGAGATGGGGATGTTATGGTTTAGAGGGAGATCTGATCTATGATGTTGGTACCCTTTTGGCAAGACAGTGATTGAATGAGTGACAGTGGAAGTGTTTTCTTATTTGTTGGGTCATCCTACCTTGTCGGGAGACGGCTGGAGTATTAAAGAAAAATTGCAATGGGAAACTCGCTCTAATAAAAATGTTATTGAAATGCACAGGGCTGTACTTATCATAAGGCAGATCAATGAAGCACATTTTAAAATTGGTTGATTTAAAGGTTTTAAAAATTTTTATGTAATAAAGTGGATTCTTTAACAAAAATTCTCAAAATATGCCCTCAACTTATTCTAAAAAATACAGTCTGAACTTGTATCTGAGTGCCTCTGCAAAGACAGTGATTATGTGTAAATGATGAAAGTGTTTCTTTCTTGGGTCACCCTGCCTTGGTGGGAGACGGCCGACATGTTGAAAAGAAAAAAAAATACTATTGTAATAATTCTAAATCTTTTTTCAATAAGTATGACAGTTTGTTATTAATAAAATGCCCTACTTTTAGTTTACTCTTGTGATATCCAGAACATTCTCATGTCATTTTATACACTTTATTAGAACACTGCCATTTTATTGTCTTTCCCCAGTTAGCAACCAAGGTATATGCTCTAGAGAAAATAGCCATTGAGTGAAATTTATGCTAAGTAAACCCCATACACACCCAGGTTATAGCTGGATATGCTGTAGTGGTAGAATGCAAAACTTTTATGCATGCATCTGATAGTGTTATTATTTGTCATTGCCCTCAATTTCTTTATTAGGTTTGAAAATTAATTTAATATAAATTTTTTTTTTAAATACGTATTTACTGTTTGCAACAGAAACAGTGAAGCCTCCCCCAGACCTCAGTGATCTTCTGAGGCAGGAGCGAGATTCAGAGCGCTGCTTGCTAGAGTCTCAGGTGTCAAGAAATTCTATTCAGGAGGTATGAATACACATTATCTGTTTTTTGTGGCATAAGGTGGGACCAGGAGATATTACTAAACCCCTGCAACCAAAACTATGTGGATATAGCAAGTACACATACACACACTCCATATTCATTTGAATTCTTTTAGGTATACAGTATTGTTAATTTGGGATAGAAAGGAATAGGAAAAGGGCAGAGAGATTGTATACTGTAAATCAAAAAAGTACAGTGGACCCTTGACTTATGATATTAATCCGTTCCTGAGAGCACATCGTAAGATGAAATTATCGTAAGTCAAATTAATTTTCCCCATAAGAAATAATGAAAATCAAATTAATCCGTTCCAGACACCCCAAAGTATGAAAAAGAAATATTTTTACTACATGAAATATCCATTTTCCTACACACAAAAAGAAGTATACATGCACAATATATATTGTGTAATGAAGAATAAATGACACTTACCTTTATTGCAGATGTGGTGATGAGTGATGGGATAGGAGGAGGGGAGATCGAAGTGTATTAATTTTTGGAAGGGGAATCCCCTTCTGTAAGGACTTTAGGTAGCAAGTCCTTTTCTGGGGTTACTTCCCATCTTTTAATGCCACTGGGAACAAATTGAGAGTCACTGGACCTCTGTCACACCAAAAATCTGTCCATAGAGCTCTGTACCTCGTATTCCTTTAAGATTTTCCTAAAGTGGTTCACAACATTGTCATTGTAAAAGTCACCAATAGCTGTGTCAAGGTGATTTTCTTCCATAAAGGTTTGCAGTTCAACCCACTTTGCACACATTTCCTTAATCTTTGAAGAAGGCAACTTGCTCAATTTCTCTCTCCCCTCCTCTGAAGCAATTTCCTCAGTTGTGGCCTTTTGCTGTTGCAGATGCTCTTGCAGCTCATCAGTGGTTAGTTGTTCATCGTTGTCCTCCACCAACTCTTTCACATCCTCCCCACTAACCTCCAATCCCATGGACTTCCCCAATGCCACAGTAGATTCCACAACTGGCATAGGCACCTGAGAGTTAGCACCAAACCCTTCAAAATCCCCTCTTTTACACAATCTGGCCACAATTTCCTCCAAGCAGAGTTCAAGGTCCTCTTAGTCACTCTCTCCCAAGCCATACCTATAAGGTTTATGCAATTGAGGATACTAAAGTGATCTTTCCAAAACTCTCTTAGGGTCAGTCGAGTGTCTGAGGTCACTTCAAAGCACTTTTGAAACATTGCTTTGGTGTACAGTTTTTTGAAATTTGAAATGACCTGCTGGTCCATGGGCTGGAGGAGAGGAGTGGTATTAGGAGGCAAAAACTTCACTTTGATAAAACTCAAGTCCCCCCGAAATTCACTCTGCCAAGTCTGAAGGATGACCAGGAGCATTGTCTAATACCAGGAGGCACTTAAGCTCCAATTTATTTTCCAGGAGGTAATTTTTCACAATGGGGCCAAACACATGGTAAAACCAGTCATAGAAAAAGTCCCAAGTGACCCATGCCTTACTGTTTGCCCTCCACATCACACACAAATTAGCCTTGACGACATTGTTTTTCCTGAACACACTGGGAGTTTCAGAGTGATACATGAGTAGAGGCTTCACTCTGCAATCACCACTAGCATTACTACACAACATTAAGGTTAGCCTGTCTTTCATAGGCTTGTGTCCTGGCAGTGCTTTTTCCTCCTGTGTAATGTAGGTCCTGTTTGGTATTTTCTTCCAAAACAGGCCTTTTTCGTCACAATTAAACACTTGTTGGGGTTTCAATCCTTCAGCCTCTATGTATCCCTGGAATTCCTGCACATATTTTTCAGCCGCTTTTTGGTCCGAACTGGCAGCCTCCCCATGACTTACCACACTATGTATGCCACTACGATTCTTATATCTCTCAAACCAACCTTTGCTGGCCTTAAGTTCACTTACATCACTAGTTGCAGGAATTTTTTTAATTAAATCATCATGCAACTGCCTTGCCTTTTCACATATGATCGCTTGAGAGGTGCTATCTCCTGATGTCTGTTTTTCGTTTATCCACACCAATAACAGTCTCTCAACATCTTCGAGTACTTGCAATCTGTGTTTCGTAAAGATATTGCACCTTTCGCAACAACAACTTCCTTGATTGCCTTTTTGTTGGCCAGGATAGTAGCGATGGTTGACTGGGATTTGTTGTACAACCTGGCCAGCTCTGCATGCACTCCACTTTCAAACTTATTAATTATCTCTCTCTTGATTTCAATAGTAATTTTCACCCTTTGTGCCACAGGGTTGGCACTAGAAGCTTTCTTTGGGCCCATGGTGGCTTATTTAGCAGTTACGAGCACTAAACACACTGGAATAATACAAAATATTCTGAATGTATGCGTGGAAGCGACCACACTAGCTTGTAAACATTGGCACACTAACTGAAGGCAGGCCAGCTGAGGTGCACTCAGGCCAGCCAGACGCTGGACGCATACGGGACAAGTGATGTAAGTTGAGTTTTTCAACGTAGGTTGGGGTCAAATTTTTACGCTGACAAGCATCGTAAGTCGGTATTATCATAGGTTGAGGTCATCGTAAGTCGGGGGTCCACTGTATTTGGTTTGTAAGCTATATTGTGATGATTGAAGACTAAAGATACCTCACATAATTTTATATAATACAATTAAACCTTTTTAGGTAGAAGGTTGGTAGGCAGTAACCACCCAGGGATGTACTACCCTCTTGCCAAGTGAGTGAAAAACGGAAACTTGTACTTGTTTTACGTGATGGTAGGATTGCTGATGTCTTTTCTCTGTCTCATAAATATGCAAGATTTATGGTATGTCTTGCTATATCTACTTACTTAGGTCACACAACACATACATGTACAAGCATATATATACACCCACACCCCTCTGGGTTTTCATCTATTTTCTTACTAACTTGTTCTTGTTTATTTCCTCTTATCTCCATGGGGAAGTGGAGCAGAATTCTTTCTCCATAAGCCATGCGTGTCGTAAGAAGCAACTTAAAATGCAAGGAGCAAGGGGCTAGTAACCCCTTGTCCTGTATACATTATTAAAGTTAAAAAGAGAAACTTTTGTTTTTCTTTTTGGGTCGCCTTGCCTCAGTGGGACACAGCCGGTTTGTTGAAAGAAGAAATATAAATTTATATTTTAGAGAACGTGGAATAAATCACCTACGGGAAGCATTACTATTCAAGGAGGCATTTTTTAGATCCTCATTTTAATTTTTTTTTTTTTTGCTCTTGTGTAGTACCATGTAATATTTTCAAACTAAAGAATTCTGCTGCTATTTATTACCACTTCTTGTTCCTCTTCCTTTCTACCTGTGGTGATATGCTCCCCTCTATTTTTGTCTGTGTGCTTATCAAAATAAATCCTCTTTTTGTTGACAGATGCATAGTTTTAAAGGAATTTTGCTTGTAGTCAACATTTTCTTGCCAGAAAAACTAATGCAAAATATCAGGTCCATTACTCATTTACTCCTTAACTGTGGGAGACCCATGATAAAAATTTCCAGTGTGTTTACCTGGAGTTTACCTGGAGAGAGTTCCGGGGGTCAACGCCCTCGCGGCCTGGTCTGTGACCAGGCCTCCTTAGGTCAGTGTCCCAGGATGCGACCCACACCAGTCGACTAACACCCAGGTACCCATTTTACTGATGGGGAACATAGACAACAGGTTGAAAGAAACACGTCCAATGTTTCTACTCTGGCTGGGAATCGAACCCAGGCCCTCGCCGTGTGAAGCGAGAGCGTTAACCACCAGGCCACCAGAGCCCTGTCCAGGCCACCAGAGCCGAAGATTTTGAAAAAAAAAAAAAAAATCTTAGTTTGATAGTTCATTTTTCCGAATCGAATAAGACTAAAATTAGTGGAATCTGATAGACTTAAGATTTTATGGTGTGTTGGAGTTGGTGAAAAAATGATCACTAACCGGCAACTGCAGTATTAAAGGGCCAGTAATGTTTACATTTTACAGTTTAATGATGCTAAGATATAATTTTTTCTGTTTTTTTTAATTGTTTTTAATGTTTAACAATATATATACTACTTTTTATAATATTAGATGTGTTTCAAGGAGTTTTAGCACTTCAGACATTGCTTCACTTGGAAAAATCAGTATTTATACGGAATATACAGTGGAACCTCTACATACGAGTTTAATCTGCTCCGTGACCATGCATCTGGATTTGCTCATTTGCAGAGTCAATTTTTCTCATTTAAATTAATTGAAATGGAATTAATTTGTTCCAGTGGAATTCCAGGCACGACAAAATGCTTCAATAATTTCCCTAATATCAACTTATTTATCTATCACAATTCATCTAATATGACATAATAAACAATATTAATAACATAGAAACATGATAAATACACTAGAATGAATAAAATACATGTCATTACGTATGTGGCTAGTGGTGGCGACAGTGGCCATTGTTGTTGTTGGGGTTTATAGGGCCACCACAGCGGCCATTCCTGCTCTTGACTACATGTGTAGAGAACCTAAGATAACCCAAAAAAGTCAGACAGAGTGATTTATAATTGCTACACTCTTAATGCTACACTTAATTGTTGCACTCTTAATGTTACACTTAATTGCTAGACTCTTAATGCTACACTTTGTTACTGGCTCCTTCTGCTTTAGTATTGTACACATCGTAGAAGTGGTACGCTGGTACTGCCTGGCCAAGTCCTTCACCCTCCACCTAGTTTGTTTATCTAGAATTTCATGCTTTAATTCCATGGAAATCACCCTCTTTTTCTTCTCAGCACTGTCCGTTGCACTTGCTTTCTTAGGACCAATGGTTAGAAACAAAATAACTGCATGAAACATAAGGAAGACATGAGAATTCCCTGCACCGTGAGTGGAGTGGACTGAGCGTTGTTTTGATACATACTGCCATCTCGTGGCGGCGTTCGGAAACTCACTTACAGTATAGGGTACAACAAGGTCTGCCACTGCTGCTTCATGTTGTCTTCCACTGCTGCTTCATGTTGTCTGCCACTGCTGCTTCATGTTGTCTTCCACTGCTGCTTCATGTCTGCCACTGCTGCTTCATGTTGTCTGCCACTGCTGCTTCATGTTGTCTATCACTGCTGCTTCATGTTGTCTGCCACTGCTGCTTCATGTTGTCTGCCACTGCTGCTTCATGTTGTCTGCCACTGCTGCTTCACATTGTCTGCCACTGCTGCTTCACGTTGTCTGCCACTGCTGCTTCACGTTGTCTGCCACTGCTGCTTCACATTGTCTGCCACTGCTGCTTCATGTTGCCTGCCACTGCTGCTTCATGATGTCTGCCACTGCTGCTTCATGTTGTCTGGTACTACAGCTTCATGATGTCTTCCACTGCTGCTTCATGTTGTCTGTCACTGCTGCTTCATGTTGTCTGCCACTGCTGCTTCATGTTGTCTGCCACTGCTGCTTCATGTTGTCTGCCACTGCTGCTTCATGTTGTCTGCCACTGCTGCTTCATGTTGTCTGCCACTGCTGCTTCACGTTGTCTGCCACTGCTGCTTCACGTTGTCTGCCACTGCTGCTTCAAGTTGTCTGCCACTGCTGCTTCATGTTGTCTGTCACTGCTGCTTCATGTTGTCCGCCACTGCTGCTTCATGTTGTCCGCCACTGCTGCTTCACGTTGTCCGCCACTGCTGCTTCACGTTGTCTGCCACTGCTGCTTCACGTTGTCTGCCACTGCTGCTTCATGTTGTCTGGTACTGCAGCTTCATGATGTCTTCCACTGCTGCTTCATGTTGTCTGCCACTGCTGCTTCATGTCTGCCACTGCTACCTCATGTCTGCCACTGCTACCTCATGTCTGCCACTGCTGCTTCATGTTGTCTGCCACTGCTGTGTAATGTTGTCTGCCACTGCTGCTTAATGTTGTCTGCCACTGCTTCTTCATGTTGTCTGCCATTGCTGCTTCATGTTGTCTGCCACTGCTGCTTCATGTTGTCTGCCACTGCTGTTTAATGTTGTCTGCCACTGCTGCGTTAAAATGCATCGATTACCGGATTTATCGGATACCGATGGCATCGTGAACCGGGGGTCCACTGTGTATTAGAGCTGATTTCCTCTATTCTGTTTATTACAGTATACAGTACACTACTGTATAAACATTTAAAAATATACCAGAAATGTTATAAATGGTGTAAAGGTGACATTTAAACAATATCAAAGATGATTAACACAAACCCACTACCATTATAGTATGTTCCTCACTTAACGATAAATTCGTTTACTGACGTGGTTAAGTGAGGAGAGGCTGTACTGGTATATTGTTAGTGTCTTTCTGCGTGAAAACTGAGAGAAAATAATTATTAAAAATCGAGCACATTTCATTCTCTTTGTCAGTAAGATGCCAAGAGTTATTTTTAAGGGAACCTATCTTTTCTCTAATTTTTGTTCTATAAACCTGGAAAAAAAACTTTTGGGTTAGTTTTTGAATCCCCAGCAACTTTAATTTCGTAGTCTCATTTAGCTTTTCTTATCCCCTTTTTAACGTCCCTCTTAATGTCAATACAATGGACCCTCGCCTAATGAACGTTTAACATTAAATCCGCCTAACGAAGCATTTGAGCATAAAAATTTTGCCCCGCCTAGCGATAAAAAACTCGCCCAACTTGATTCGTCTGGGACCTGTCCATACTGCCCCGTGGGTGCCAGTGTTTACAAGCTAGCCAGTGCAGTCGCATCTACGCGTACATTCGGTACGTTTCACATTACCCCAGTGTTTTTAGTGCTTGTAACTGCAAAATAAGTCACCATGGACCCCAAGAAAGCTTCTAATGCCAACCCTGTGGTAAAAAGGGCGAGAATTAGTATGGAATTGAAAAAAGAAATTAAGGAAATGTGTGCAAAGTGGGTTGAACTGCAAACCTTTATAGATGAAAATCAACCTAACACAGCTATTGCAAGCTGTGCTGGTGGCTATTACAGTGACAATGTTGTGGCCCATTTTAGGCAAATCTTAAAGGAACGCGAGGTACAGAGCACTATGGACAGATTTGTTGTGTGACAGAGGTCCAGTGACTCTCAAGCTGGTCCTAGTGGCATTAAAAGAAGAAGGGAAGTAACTCTGGAAAAGGATTTGCTACCTCAAGTCCTCATGGAAGGGGGTTCTCCTTCCAAACAATAACAAGTTCCACCATCTTCCCCCCTCCTCCCATCCCATCAATCATCACCAGATCTTCAGTAAAGGTAAGTGTCATGCATTCTTTATTTAGTAGAGTAGTAATTGTGCATGTCTTTTTCTTTTTGGGTGTATAAAAATGTATATTTCATATGGTAATTTTTTTTTTTTCATACTTTGGGGTGTCAGGAATGGATTAATTTGATTTCCATTATTTCTTATGGGGAAAATTAACTCGGCTAACGATAATTTCGGTTAACGATGAGCTCTCAGGAACGGATTAATATCGTTAGGCGAGGGTCCACTGTATATTGATTCAAAAGATGACCCTCACCTCTTTTGATGTGCCTATAAATTCCCCTCTTTTGCCAGAAGAGAGAGTATGTAACTATGGGATTATGACTCTTGCTTATGTTATTATTTGCCATTAAATGGTACAATATCTGATCTATATAATATGTAGATCTTGACTTGGTTAGAATGTATCTCTTCTTTAAACTATGAGCTTGGTAGGTAAGACACATAGGCAACAGTTAGGCAACTTTATTCTGAAACGTTTCGGCTACACAGTAGGCTTCTTCAGTCGAATACAGAAAGAAGGCAGGAACAGTAGAGATGTGAAGACAATGTAATCAGTCCATCACCCTTGAAGTTGTTTGAGGTTGTCAGTCCCTCAGCCTAGAGAAGTTCTGTTCCAAAGTCTTTGGAACAGAACTTTGGAACAGAACTTCTCCAGGCTGAGGGACTGACAACCTCAAATCTATGACTTCAAGGGTGATGGACTGATTACATCGTCTTCACATCTCTACTGTTCCTGCCTTCTTTCTGTATTCGACTGAAGAAGCCTACTGTGTAGGCGAAACGTTTCGGAATAAAGTTGCCTAACTTTTGCCTATGTGTCTTACCTACCAACCTGCCGGTATTGTATACCATTTTGATGTTCAAACTATGAGCTTCTATAGGTTACCAAAAATTTTCAGGAATGCAGCTCATTTTTTAGTTGGGGACCTCCTGCTGTATGTGGAAAAGCTCAAAGCTACCTGAGGAATTATATGAAAATGATGAACTGAAAAACACAGAAATATTAATGTAAAGGACATAAGGATAATGAAATGGTAACAGCATTCTCTAAAGGGGCATTTTGGAACTAATAAAATATATCATTTCACTTGGAATAGCAGTGGTATTTTGGATGAAGATAGTGACTGACATGATAAATTGCAGCCCTTTTACCTTCACTGTACTACTGGCATGGTATTACTTTCATGTGCATTGTGAACTACCCACTTGAGCTTAATGATTTCTATGAATATAGTAAATAAATACTGTACCTTCATGGGTAAGATAGGCCAACAGCTTTTTATGACTGTGATAGATATCTTTGTCAGTAACTTAGCTATTCATGTGAAATTTTTTTAACTTTACATTTTCCAGATTCTTAGTGAAGCAGAAATTGTGCGTCGTGAGCGTGAAATAATTGAAAGTCTTGAAAGATCAGAGCAACAAAAGCAACAACAACATGAGCAGTACATTTGGGACGATGGTTTACAAGAAAATATAACAAATGAAACCAAGACTGAAAATGATGAGCACATGCAATATCAAGAGGTATGCTCAGTTCTCAGTGATATCACTGAATATAGTCGTGGTTTTGACAGCTTTCACAGGTGTGCTTTTGCATAGGGAATTTTTTCCTGTAGTGTGTCCTACACTGAGAGTTGGCAGACTTTAATTTTTTGACTTTGTGTCATGTTAGACTCAAGAGCAACTTAAAATAGCTTTATGCCAATAATTCAGAAGAGCCAGGGATATTTATGTTGCAGTAATAGGTAATTTTTTTTTTTTGCACACAGCCATTCGTAATGACTGTTCATTTAATTATTTGCAAGAAATATGTCCATTACTTATTGAAAACATAAAAGCTTTTTCTTGTAACACTAATACAGAAATAAAGGACAAGGGTATAAACATATTTAATACAAAATATTTAGAGTTTTTCAATCTCATATGTGCTTAGCATTTGAGAACATTTTAAAGGTAGCAAGTAATGAAATAAGGCATATTACAAACATGAAGTAATGTATTACTAACACAAAGTGGGAGTTGTCACAGTTGCTCTTTGCTGATGATACTGTGCTTTTAGGAGATTCTGAAGAGAAGTTGCAAAGGTTGGTGGATGAGTTTGGTAGGGTATGTAAAAGTAGGAAATTAAAAGTGAATATAGGAAAGTGCAAGGTGATGAGGATAACAAAAAAATAGGTAACGAAAGATTGGATATCAGATTGGAAAGAGAGTATGGAGGAGGTGAATGTATTCAGACATTTAGGAGTGGATGTGTCAGCAGATGGGTCTGTGAAAGATGAGGTGAATCATATAATTGATGAGGGAGAAAAAGGCAAGTCCATGGAAGCAAAGAGGGGAATGTATGAGAGTATAGTTATAACAACGCTCTTATATGGGTGTGAAGCATGGGTGGTGAATGTTGCAACAAGGAGAAGGCTGGAGGCAGTGGAGATATGTCTGAGGACAATGTGTGGTGTGAATATTATGCAGAGAATTCGTAGTTTGAAAATTAAGAGGAGGTGCAGGATTACCAAAACTATTATCCAGAGGGCTGAGGAAGGGTTGTTGAGATGGTTTGGACATGTAAAGAGGATGGAACAAAATAAGAATGACTTTGAGAGTGTATAAATCTGTAGTGGAGGGAAGGCGGGGTAGGGGTCAGACTAGGTTGGAGGGAGGGGGTAAAGGTTTTGTGTGTGAGGGGCTTGGACTTCCAGCAAGCATGTGTGAGCATGTTAGATAGGAATGTTGGAATGTGAGCTAGGTAACATTTATGAAGGGATTCAAGGAAACCGGCAGACCTGACTTGAGTCCTGGAGCCGGGGGTGTTAATGTTGCAGTTTTATAACTGTAGCGTAAGCGCCCCTCTGGCAAGACAGTGATGGAGTGAATGATGGTGAAAGTTTTTCTTTTTTGGGCCACCCTGCCTTGGTGGGAGAAGGCCAATGTGTTTATAATAAAAAAAATTGATAACTTATTGGAAATACTGTCTAATAACAATTAATACTGCACATCATTGTAGGTAATGTAAGCCTATTATTGTAATCTGTATCTTAATGCTGCATTATTAATCTTCTAGTCGATACAAAGTTATAAATTATATCACATTAAATTAGTGTAATTTTCTTCCACTTTTTGAAAAATTAAAGTAGTGTAGTAGCATAATAAATTAAATCTTTACAGTACATCATAAACATTGCCAGTATTTATATTTTAATTACTTTTAATACATAAATTTGAAATTGTTAAGCTAAACTTTTAGTCAAGGGTTTATAAAATAATGTTATTTTCTTTTTGTAATTTAAATACTTAATCTTTCTTGAAGAGAATTTTAACCTTGTCTTCTGTTCACTTTGCAGTGCTTGAATACAGACAGGAATTCCTGCTCTCAGGAGTTACCTTCTGTTCCTCCTCCTCCTCCTTCACCTGTGTCTAACATTACTTTACCGTTTGCTTACTTAGCAGCTAATTTACCTACTCCCAGTGACTTTATCCCCATGTCCCCACTTCCTGAAGGGGATGAAATATCTAATTGTAACTTACAATGTAATGATGGAACTCGTTGCACTGGTGTTTGTTCTTCTCCCCCGCCCTTACCATTAGCTCCTGTCGAATGCAGCGTTCCAATCCTTACACCAATACCTGAATGTGAGGAAAATAACCCCTCTAGTCCTCAGTATTCCATGTCAGAACCTAGCACAACTCCAGAAATAACAGCTCCTTATCCTTCCTCTCCCCAAGTTACAGTACAAGAATTGTCTGAAACTCCCGAGTTTATTGCAAAATCAGTTTCACATTTGAGCACACCAGAACTTTCCCAACCCTCTACTCCTACTGACTTGTGTACAACCAGAACACAAAAAAATATCGAGTCATATTCACAGGAAGATGAACCGTTATTTCTCTCACACATTAAAGATGGCTCTGAAACTTCATCACTGATTCAGACACAATCTCCTGTACCATCAACTAACGTTGATTCCAGTTTAAACATGTCAGATCCATTATGCTTACAGTCATCCACAAAAATACAGTCAACATTTAATCTGTCTGAGAATCATAACTCTGAATCTGTTTTGCATTCATTCAAAGAAACACCACCTTTCTACACTCAGGTTTCAGTGTCAAACTCAACATCTAATCTTCATTTGAATTCATGTGCATGTCAGTCGTCTGACAGTGTTGATGTTACATCACCCACGTGTGTTGGAAAAGGAACACGTCTACATGTTGAACCTTCTACTGAGGTTCCTGGATTACCAGTACAAACTGGTACTGATATATTATTACCACCAACACAATTGCAAGGTGATGAATGGATGGCTCCTGTACAGCAGTCAGTGTGCTGTGTTGAGGCATCTCTTACCCCATCTAACCATAATTTAAAGAATAGTTCTCCAAAAAGTTCAGTTCAAACCTCATCTCTTGAATCGGCTACTTTGAGTAAACAGGGTGACATGAATATCAATTCTAGTGGGTTATGTGGCACACTTGCATGTAGTAGTGGATCACAACATATTTATAACGAACAAGTTATCTCTGGTATTAAAGAGCCATCAAAGAAAAGTATACATGAAAAAACAGTTAGATTTAATATAGATGAAACTCTTAATAATACACACAGTTTTACTGAACATACCACAAATCTATGTGATTCTGATACCAATGTGTTAAATTTTCAACTTGAAGAGGACATGTCTATCACAGTTAGTCATGAAATACAGACTTCTGCACAAAATCACTTACAGCCATCATGTTCATTTACCACAGCCTCTATCCTATCTCCTCCTCAGGCCAAGAACCTTCAGACATCTTTTGAATTGGATAAAGAATCTAGGGTTCCTATGAGAGTTCCCGTGACCTCAACTAACGTCCTTGAGAGCTCCCACTCTGTCTCTAAGACCACAGATGCGGAGCATTGGCAGATGAATTATGATTCCCTCGGCTCCTCTTCTACCGTTCTTAAGTCCACTCTTAACACTGAAAAAACACATGCTGAACTTCTTGAAAGTCATATAGCCAAGTCTGAGACCATTGCGGAGGCACCACCTCACTCATCAATGAGAAGTGAAAGCCAGACATCAGCTGAAACAGAGGGTCTACTTCCTTCTGAATCTAGAGAGCAGTATGAAGGGCACTTGGTGGCCCACAGCAGTACTTTGGACTACAGTGATGACTCTCTTGTATCAACAAGTTCACATCCTGAAGAGTATAAGGTGAACATCATGGTCAGATTGGCACTGGGGAAAACAATGCAGATTTAAAAAAATAACAAGTCATTTATATATCTTTTCAGTCATTACAGTGTAGCCACTTGGGTCAATTTGAAAAATATCCAGTATGCATAATTAAGCTAAATTTTTCTATAAGGTACTGTTGCTTGATTTAACATGTTATAATTGCCATACAATTTGCATATGGGTAGTTAAGAGGTTTTATTACACATTTATAGAGTATTTAGGTATACTTTAGTTAAAGTCTGTGCTTTAATATTTGAGTAATATTATCTAAGATGAGTGATAACATACTGTGGCGGTATTATATAATGGAGACACATTTACTGATATTAATGTAATATCATTTGATATTCAGTATAATAAATATTAGAGCTTATAATGCAGGATATTCTCCATGGGGAAGTGGAACAGAATTCTTCCTCCGTAAGCCATGCGTGTCGTAAGAGGCGACTAAAATGCCGGGAGCAAGGGGCTAGTAACCCCTTCTCCTGTATATATTACTAAATGTAAAAGGAGAAACTTTCGTTTTTCCTTTTGGGCCACCCCGCCTCGGTGAGATACGGCCAGTGTGTTGAAAGAAAGAAAAGAATGCAGGATATGGCTTACTGATCACTGTATACAGTACAGTAATTTGTATAAGACATTTTGTCTTGATGTGTAAATGCAAGCATGTACTTCAATGTACGTACTCATGCTGCTGCATGTGAAATAGAATATTTTAACACTAATTAATGTGTTGATTGAAAAGAAGTTAGTCAAGTCATTTTTGTTTGTATGATAAAGGATGCTCCAGGTTTTAAATGGCAAGTGATTCTTGATCTTGATAGTGTCCATTCTTCATAAGGAGACTATTTTTGAAAGCAGTTAGGAAAAATATAATACTCATTTATATAATAAAAATGGTAAGGAAATGAAAGCGTGCATTTATGGAAACTAAATATATCAGTAGCTATGTGAAATTCATAATTTATGAGTAAATAAGTCATTGGTGTGCATTTAAATGCTGTCAATACCAGTGGATAATAAAAATTGCAGTTGCCTACCATAACATTAAATTTAGTAGGTAACTGGAATAATGACTTGGGGAAAATATAGCACTTAGAATGTGCTTAGAGATATTTTTATACAGTACTCTCGTGTATAAAATTTATGGGACATTAATAAATGCTTAGGTTTTTGTTTATTTTATACTAAGATACAGTATTGTCATTAGAGGTGATGCACTCCTTATGGCAGTTATACATAACAGTAATTCTTGAAATGTTGGCTGAGCTCCCTAACAGGATTTTTGGGAAAAGAGAAGCATGATTGTTTCCTCTTGTGCCTAGCTCTGTAGTGCACTTTTATGTTCACAATGTTAACACAAGTTTTCTGATTTATCTTTTTTCTAATTTTCATATTAATGGCTTGGAACATGTTTCTGAATGGTCATCAGAAACTTAATCTTTGGTGATGGGTCAGAATTAATTCTAAATTCCTTAATTTTACTGTTTCTCTAAACCATTAAATTTTATTGATCATCTCTTAACTTGAGAATTAATATTCTTATATATTCATCTTCATTTCTTAGTTGCAGTTACACAACTTTTAATAAATTTTATTGACATCATTGTATCTCATAAGTTTAGTCAAATTTCTTTTGATTAATATACATTTCACTCTTTAGAAACTGGCTGAACTCGAAGAAGAAATGATGCGCCATGACAAGGATATGCTACGACGTACTGGGCAGCTGACAAATGGCTCAACAGCTGGTTCAGATTCCCAGCCAAGTGTTAATTCTTCACTTTCTTCATATGCCACTCATGGGGAGCATTCACCATTTCCTTTACATCATTTTCCTCAAAGTACAGAAAATAGTAATTACAATTTCCAACAACAATCTTCATCTCATCTTCCCATTCAAGAGTTTTACACAGCTCCCACATATGAGTCAGCTGCTTCTGCCAGCATGGTGCAAGGTGAAGGGGTGGGCACCTTTAGACCCCCATTACAGAAAAGTGTGCCACTCCCAGCTGGATCTCCTTCACAGTATAGCACTCTGGCTTCTCCACATCCCTTTTCTCGATCAAACTCTCAGTCCAGTCTCGAGTCTTCTAAACATCCACCTGTACAAGCAATGAGGTCAGTGCCTTTAGCCTCTCCAAGAGAATCAATCCCAGAACCTTTACCAAGAAAGAAGAAAGCACCCCCACCGACTCCTAGCAAATCTCTTAAATTAACGAGCGAACTCAACAATGCTGAACGCCTGGAGGCCATAAGGTAAAATAAGGAGTCAATTATCTCTTTATTTTTATTAATATGTTCTGAAAGCTAACCTATCAGTAATAATAATGTATAGTAAATCCTTGATTTAATAGACTGATATGGAGAATGGGGTTTCTGCTAATTGCCATTGATTCAAAGTTATCAAATTTATTTTTCATGATTTGTAACATGAAAAGATAAAGTCTTCATTCAGTGGACCTGATATTTCTGATTGTCTGGAACTTCGATTGTCTTTTAAACTAACGGACTTGATCTTTTGATACAGAAGACAACTAAACACTAAGAATTTGGTAATTTAACCTGTAGTACTACAGTACATTGGGTTTAGTACTTAGTTATGATTGTAATGTAATAACTACAGTACAGTACTGTACTGTATTGTAATTTTATAGTGCTGGGCGTAATTTAGAGTAATTTTACCTGCTGCTCGTGGGTGATAGAGATGTGAACTGCCATGATCAGTGGGGATATCTGAGAATAACTTTTGTTCTGAGTTGGAGCTTGCGTTGATAATAATTGACGTGTTAAGAAAAAGGTCCTCATGTTCAGTAGGGCCTCACTTATATGGCATGTTAGGTTTAAGGCTACTGCCATAAAGCAAAATGCCCTTTTTTTTTTCCCCACTTATAAAAATACACATATAGTACTCATTACTTACCATAAAATATATGTAGTCTTAACCCGTAAATGGTCCAAGTGTATACATACGTTTTTACTGCTAGTGCCCCAAACGTATATATACGTTTTATGTCATACATTTAACATTGCCACGATAAGCCTGAGTCGCCTAGACATGAGAGAATGGGTGTGAGCACTCACTGTGCGCCATATTAAAATAATTGGGGATGCCTGGGTTCCATATGCTCTTTTTTCCTATTAAAAAACAACAATGTTTTTTTTCTCAAAAAAGTTGGGGCAGTACAGTAGTGAACGTATATATACGTTTGGACCGTTTACAGGTTAATATAGGGTGAGAGGTGAATAGTATTTATTATAGAGAGTCAGGTGGTAGGTATGGTAGCTCACCTGGATACCACATCTACATGTAATATACAACATTTAAAGCACCCCAGGGTGATAAAATACACATACAGTACACTTATTACTTAACTTAAAATATGTGTAGTCTTAATGTAAGGTGAGAGGTGAGTATTTATTGTAGAAAGTATTTAACAAAAAAAAAAAAAAATCAGGTGTGGTAGCTCCTACACCTACACGAAATATACAACTGAAATTTAAAGTGCCCCAGAGAGATTATTATTATTATTATTATTATTATTATTATTATTATTATTATTATTATTATTATCATCAACATACTTTGTTCAATGAGTTTAATCATTTCTAACAACTGAACTTAGATGTCATTGTAAACAAGACGAAACGCCGAGAATGTAAATAGACAAACGTGTATGATTACAGTTAAAACAAGTTCATTCATGTATATGTTTGTGAAGCTTTTACCACAATACGAACACTTTACATTGTGTACAAGTTGTCTTCATGTTGGTCGCAGTAGAATAAATAACAACACTCCAATCTTATGCAACACATCATTTTTAGAGGGAATGACACTTTGAGTGAAGGCATATGAAAGGAATAATTTTCTACAGTTACCCTCAGTAATACTATTGTGTACACATTTTCTCTGGTGTGTAATTCTTGCCATCCCTCCTACAAGCCGCCTGGCTACCACTTCTCATATTTATGTCAATTTTTTCTACTGTGGGTGAATGTATTATGTTTTATGTTATGCAACATGTTTCTTATATAATTCTGAAAAAAATATCATAGATGGATTAATGAAAATGTCTATATTAATGTAATATATTACATTTAAAGTGCCCCAGTGATTCTTATTATTAATATGGCATCTTCAGCACTGAGTGAGACACTCTTAGTGATTTTAATGTGTACTTGCATGCCAGCACAGTATGTAAGTTTATTTAGGTACAGGTACACAAGTATAATTCTTCTTTCAACAAATTAGCCATATCCCACCAAGGCAGGGTGGCCCAAAAAGAAAAACAAAAGTTTCTCTTCATAACTTTAATAATGTATACAGGAGAAGGGGTTACTAGCTCCTTGCTACCGGCATTTTAGTGTCCTCTTACAACATGCATGGCTTACGGAGGAAGAGTTCTGTTCCACTTCCCTATGGAGAACAAGTATAATAATAATAATAATAACAATAATAATAATGTTTATTTTGACATGATACATTGTTGTACAAAGGAATACAGTAGTTGGGTGTGCATGCCAAAAGACCCTTTGTATGCAGAGCATTTCAGGTAAACTTAAATAACAAAAAAAGGCACAATACCGTGACTGGAACAATGCACAAATAACCCGCACATAGAAGAGAGGAGCTTACAACGATGTGTCGGTCCGACTTGGACCGTTTACAAAGTCACACTAACAAAAAGGAGAGCAGGATGGGTATATATAGGCAGGAAGTGGTAGTAGTAGTGGAGGGAAGGGAGTAGTAGTGGGGAGGTAGTAAGAGTAGGAGGGGCCAGTCAAATACTAAGAAAGAGGAGCACTGCAAGGGAGCTAGGTGCCCAAAGAGAGTAAGAGCAAAAACACCAAGGGGGGAGGAAAACAAATAAATAAATAAATAAATAAATAAAGAAGGAACAAATACACAGGGCAGAAGAAAGACAACCCAAAGGAGAAAAAGGAAAGAGGAAAGGGGAAGAGGGAGAAGAAGAAAAAAGGAGGAATCAGGTTAGGTCATGAGTGTTCTGAAGTTTGGAGCATTTTACAAAGTAGTGGGAGAGGAAGGCATCTACAGAGATGAATCCAGGACTAAGATTCATACAAGGAAAGTTGTGTATTAGGGAGGATTCAACCAGACGGCGACTGTTAAATAATTAGCTTTTTATAAGTTGTTTTTGTAATTCTATTAGTGAAAACCATTTTGTTTCTTTATATGTCTTCTGTATACTGATAGGGAGTGAAATAAATCTTAGCTTGACATGTTCTACTGATACTTGCCTTGAGTATACACCCCATAGGTTTATAATTTTACTTTTAAGTGATTATTAAGTAGCTACTTGGCATTGATGAAGACACCTGCAAAACCTGAGTATCATTATTGAGAGAGATTTCATGGGAACAGCAGACTTTATCAATCTGGATAAACCTGCTGTGCAGGTAAAATATCTCCATAAGATTTGCCGAAGTATTACACACGTCTTAGTTAATTTGTCAGTATTATGTTTTTTATCTATCAATACAGTACTACTTGGTATTAATTGATTTTTGAGCAGAATGTGAACTATTTAAGCACACCATACATATAACAAAATATAAAACCTTTCTAATATAAAGAAATGATTGGCATTAACAGGGTGAGTCGCATGCCTACCACTGTCTCTGTGGTAACTGAGAATGACCAGATTGAATCCCAGGGACCATCAGTTTCACCTTCAGGTCAACAAATGTCAAAGCAGACACTTCTGGCACTCTCAGCAATACCCAAGCCTCGGCTCACAGATAATGAAAGTTGGATCACTAAAAAGAAACCAGATGCACAAAAGAGAGATTACAGCAAACATTGGCTCCACCAGGTAATAATTTGGCTTGATCTTTATAAGTTTATTCTATTATTAACCCTTCATAGTGTCAGGTAGGCCTATGTGACTAAGGTTAATGGTGCTTACCTAGATCTGTTCGTAAATCATGGTGCCCTCAAATATGCTGAGCAGCAAATTTTGGCCTAGACTTAAGATAATGGATCCACATGGTGGGTGTGCACAGTGCAAAAAATAATCTTAAGCTATACGGTGCATGATGGGAACAGCTAACCTTAGACCTTGTGTTTGGGTGACCCCTCATCTGGGAATTGCTCTCAGTGTCGAAGAATTCCCCCCCCCCCCCTCCACACAAAAAAATTATTATGAAATGATAATCTTTTTCCAAAGGTAATGAAACCAAAAGTAAGAAATTTGATGGAAAATTGACAAAATTATGCTTTCACAAATTTTGTTGTGTCAGTGACAGCAAAATTTGTGATTTTACCCACTTTGAGTCCAATTTAACCCTTTCAGGGTCCGTCCCGTAGATCTACGGCTTTACGTTCAGGGTCCAAACCGTAGATCTACGTCATGAGCTCAGCTCACTCTGATAAACTGTGAGTGGTACATTTGGGCCTAGATATGAGAGAATACATCTATGTGGTATGTGTGCACCACATAAAACAAATCCTGCAGCACACTGTGTATAATATGAGAAAAAAAACTGAAATCATGATTTTTCGATTAAAACAGCGACTTTGCAGTGTTTTTTCCTGTTTTTTATAGTTGTATTTGCGATTCCTTGGTCTCATTGGATAGAATGGAAGACATATTACAGAAATAGAGATGATTTTGATTGGTTTTAGCACTGGAAATGGCTTGAAACTGAGCTCAAAGTAGCAGAAATGTTAAATTTTTGCCAATATTCAAGAGTAAACAAACGACCTTACACGTCTTATACATGCCAGCTGGTGGGTCTAATATGCATTCACAAATATGGTGATGATATTTATACAATTATTACAATATTGCATAAACAGAAAATCTTCTATTTTTTGGTGTGAATAAAAATTCATTATGTGAATAAAAAATCAAAATGGAATTTATTTGTAAAGCCTTAAAATATAACTAATGAACAGAGGAAATGTTAGTTTAGTTCCAGGAATACCTACATTGTTTATTCTGGACCCTATTTTAAAATTGGAATATTTTGAACTTTGTGTTAAATTGGCCAAATTAACAATTTCCGATCACTTTAATTTGTAGTTGAAACAGTTGACTTGGCGATTTCTTGTGCTCAATCGATAGAATAGAAGTAATACTAGTGAAATAGCTAAGAATTTGGTTGACTGGAATAATGTAATTGGCCTAAAATGGGAGTCAAAGTCGGCAAAATCGCCGATTCGTAAATATTGCTGACGCATCAAAATTCACGAGAGCATAATTTCGTCAATTTTTCCATCAAATTTCGTACTTTTTGTTTTATTACCTTCACAAAAAGATTCTTTACCGTTTCATAAGAAAAAATAAAAATTTTTTTTTTTTTAAATTCTTGGACACTGGGGCACCACTTCAGATTTGGGCCTTGGACCCTGAAGGGGTTAAGGCCAATTACATTGTTTCAGTCAGCCAAATTCTTAGTTGTTTTGCTGGTATGTCTTCTATTTTATCAGTTGAGTACAAGAAACCACCCAATCAACTATTTCAATTACCCAGTAAAGTGAGTTTCACACAAATTTCAAAATAGGGTCTAGAATAAAAATGTAGGCATTCCTGGCATTAAAATAACATTTCCTCTGCTCATTAGATACATTCCGAGTCTTTACACATGAATTCCATTTTGAATTTCACACAAAAAATAGCCTCGGTCCGTTAACCCGTGTTGAATCTGAATAACTTTTCGCTGAGCGCACGGTCTCTGCACTGGCACCGCGTCTTTCAAGTGTCTTACTTATCAGCTCTCGATTGTCGGTTATAGAAGATTTAATGTTATGCAGTATTGTAATAATTGTACAAGTTAGCCATCACTAATCTGGCAATCAGTTATCCAGTTCAATCAGTAATCCAGCACTAATTTTGTCTAGCATAATTTTGAATTTCCGGGGTTGCCACACCAACCTGCTGCTACTGTTTGGTGGCGCTACTTGCTGCATAAGTCATTTCAGCTTCTTTTTCTTTATTGATTATTATAACCTGTTCACTTTTAGCCCTGGCCATGGTTCCAATGAATAAAAGAAATGCTTCCCATTGTGTAAAGCACCTATACCGTACATTGTCCATAAAACATAAGGTGGCTTTGAAGCTACTGTCGGTTGCTATGAGCTCCTGAGTCTCGTGATGTTGGGGAATATGCTTTATTATTATGCTAATATCAACAGGTGCTGCACAAGATTGACAGCACTCTAATTGCCAGACATAATGAGGGCAAATTCCTAGGCCTATACCTTGACAACAACCTGAATTTCAGCACCCATATCCAACACATAACAAAAAAAGTATCCAAAACAGTTGGGATCCTCTCCAAGATACGATACTACGTACTGCAAAATGCCCTTCCCACACTATACCATTCACTCATTTATCCATACCTCACTTATGCTATTTGTGCTTGGGGATCAACTGCAGCAATACACCTAAAGCCAATAATAACTCAACAAAAAGCCGCAGTAAGAATAATCACTAAATCCCATCCCTGGCAACACACCCCGCCACTCTTCATAGATCTAAACTTATTCGCTGTTCATAACATCCACACTTACTACTGTGCAATCTACATATACAGGACCTTAAATTCCAATACAGTGGACCCTCGGTTAACGATATTTTTTCACTCCAGAAGTATGTTCAGGTGCCAGTACTGACCGAATTTGTTCCCATAAGGAATATTGTGAAGTAGATTAGTCCATTTCAGACCCCCAAACATACACGTACAAACGCACTTACATAAATACACTTACATAATTGGTCACATTCGGAGGTGATCGTTATGCGGGGGTCCACTGTATTAACCTTGACCTAAAATACTTTCTTGATAGTTGTGACAGGACCCACAAGCATAACACCAGACACAAACATTTCTACGACATTCCCCGTGTCCGGCTAAATCTATACAAAAATTCAATGTATGTCAAAGGCCCTAAAATCTGGAACACCCTACCTGAAAACTCTAGATCTGCAGACACACTCATCACCTTCAAAACTACCATTAGAAAACATCTTATCTCTGTGATACACCCCATCAACTAACTACATAAAAACCACCTGGTGGTTCACACTTACACTCACCCATTTGACTATAAGCACAGAAATACATATCTTAATCTTAAAATAATGATTTCTAACTAGTCAAGTTTGCCTGTGATACTCCAATATAGAAACTATGTATTGTGCCAAAACAAAAGCATTCACATTGCTAAACTCACAAACTAGTATTTAGTCACTCAGTATTTGGTCACTTAGTATTTAGTCAACTTACTCCACAATTTGTAATAATTTAGGGTTAAGAATTAATCTAAGTTTGCTCAAAATGCCTAGCCTTGCTAGGTGTTCTAGTGGCCCCCTCTGTAATTAGTATTTTATTACATGTAAACCACACAATAACCAAAATCTGTAAACCCCACATTGTAATCCTTATAGAGAATAAACTTTGATTTGATTTCATTTGATACGGGTTATTTACCTATCACAGTTGATCTAATATGACATAATAAACAATATAAATAACATAAAACATGGTAAATACTCCAAAATGAATAATAGTAATAATAATAATAATAATAATAGAGGATATAGGTAGTAGGTTAGTAGACAGCAACCACCCAGGGGGGTACTACCGTCCTTCCAAGTGAGTGTAAAATGAAAGCCTGTAATTGTTTTACATGATGGTAGGATTGCTGGTATCTTTTGTCTGTCTCGTGAATATGCAAGATTACAGGTACATCTTGCTACTTCTACTTACACTTAGGTCACACTACACATACATGTACAAGCATATATATACACACCCCTCTGGGTTTTCTGCTATTTTCTTTCTAGTTCTTGTTCTTCTTTATTTCCTCTTATCTCCATGGGAAAGTGGAACAGAATTCTTCCTCCATAAGCCATGTGTGTTGTAAGAGGCGACTAAAATGCCGAGGGCAAGGGGCTAGTAACCCCTTCTCTTGTACAGGTTACTAAATTTAAAAGGAGAAACTTTCGTTTTTCTTTTTGGGCCACCCTGCCTTGGTGGGATAGGCTGGTTTGTTGAAAAAAAAAAATAATAATAGAGAATATGGGATAAAAGTACCATCCTCCTATCCCTGTCTTGGGGGCTTATATTAAGAGAAAACGTAGTGTAGTACAGGGTTATCTATGATATACACTCGTTTTCATTGATTATCTTGGAAGTTATTCATTTATATCTTAAAACAGCGGCATTAATGATGATAGGAATGCAATGAATTTCACAGACAACATAAAAGAACCTTATAAAAGGACGCCAATGGAAATACTTCACTTCGTCTGAATATTTTGGGTTATCCTAGGTTCTCTACACTTAGGCTGCTATGTATAATAAATGTATGTAAATGTATTTGTTGTTTGTTGGACTTTCTTATTGAAACTTGGGCAGTGTATGATGGAAAGATGCTTCTTAACCCTTTTACTGTCGAGACCCCAAATCCTGAAGAGTCTCTCTCTGTCGCAAAATATTTGGAAAAAAAAATTTTTTTTTATTCATATGAAATGATAGAGAATCTTTTCCTGATGGTAATGACACCAAAAGTGCGAAATTTGATGGAACACTCGTGGAATTATGCTCTCGCGAAGGTAGCGATCTCGGTGATATATATGCAGTGACGATTTTGCCCACTTTGAGCCCTATTCTTCGCCAATTCCATTGTTCCAGTCGACTAAACTCTTAGCTATTTCTTTAGAACTCCATTTGTTCTATCAATTGAGTACAAGAAAACGTCCAGTTACCGATGTCAACTACCCAATAAAGTGGTCAGAAATTGGCAATTTGGCCAATTTCACACATTAAAAAAGATGCCAATTTCAAAATAGGGTCCAGAATA